CTTATTGTTTTTATGCTTAAACCCTTTTTAGTCTTTGACCCATGTGTGTACGTATATTAACATGTTTAATAATCAACATTCTTGTTCATGGTTATTTTTATTTTTTTCCTGCTTATGAAATGCTATTTTAATATTTGGGATGGTGAATGTGACAGCAAACAGAGTGGATCATGATTAAATTATTGTGACATATTGGAATTGAAAGCATCGATAACATCATGCTTGGTAAATAATGAACTTTTCACCACTTTTTCTTGTTTAACTGCAGCAAACAGCCACAATTCTGAATGTTATTCACAAGTTAAGCTCTCCTTATAAATTACAGCAGGGTATGACAGTCCCTCAAGGACAAGAAAAACTACCTTTCATCCTATTTATCATTTATTTTATTATAGTTTTGTAAAGCGTAAAAAATGTGTTGTAGAAGGCATTTCATTGGAAAAGTTGTATTGACATTAAATTAGTTTGCTATTATTGTTAACTTTAAGTAATAAAACTGTATATGTATGAATAAAGCTGTATTTAGTAACATTTTGAATATTTTGATTTACTTTTCTAATAATTGTATTGTATCTTGGTGGCAGAGTGGTTATTTCTTTACTCAAATTTGAAGACATAACTGTTTTCTTATGCAGCCTTTCAAGTAAATAAACAGTTCAGCTTAGTTCATATTTTTATGTTTAGCTATATCTCATTGCACAGTGCAGTTATGTCAGTTACTGTTATAAATGACTGCATCATAACAATCATCTGTTTTTATTGCCGTATAGAATCATCTACAGTTTTTTTTTTGTGTGTGTGTAGAATATGACATTTCTATGAATATTATTTTGTTCTAAGGCAAATAGAGGTTCTCCTGTCTACAATACTGACACTCTTTTCCATAAGCAATTATCTAATCTCACAAGCTGTGGCTATTTGGATACAGGCAGTGATAAACTGGCCATTGAATTTGCACGGTGTAATAGTAAAGAAGCAGAAGAGAGCTAGAAGAAGAAGAGAGCAGTTCTACATTTGCCAGTGAATGCATCGTATCCATCTTGTTTCAGCTGTAGATTCATGAAGGCAGCACAGATAGCAGAAGAGAGCTAGAAGAAGAAGAGAGCAGTTCTACATTTGCCAGCTGTAGATTCATGAAGGCAGCACAGATGAAGCCTGTTTAATAAGACCTGAATGAACAAGTGATCAAACAGGTTTGCCCTTGTGTTTGCTGATCATCTGTCAGGTGATTGCTCTCAACTACGTCTGAATATGGATCCGCTCCGGTCGTAGTTTATTCCCAAAATGGAACTAATGGAGGAAAATTAAAGCTTGAAAAGGTAGGGTTTATGCCTTTGGTTCTTTTATTAGAGTTTTCCTTTTATAAAATAAACTTAGTACATCAAAACCTGCGAGAATCCACCCTTGTCTTTCCCTGAACAGTATCTTAAAATAGACAGACATATTACATAAAAAATACTTCATGAACTATGTATTTTATACTTTATATATTATGAACAATACTATATTACTAATAGTATATATTATATAAATCTGATTCTTGTCAGGTTAAATATGAATATCAACCAATATAAAGAAGCCCAAAAAAAGTAACTTTATGTCCTTCATTTCCAGGCCTGTCCATGGCAGAAAGACATGGTTTTCTTTGCCATTTTGGGTTTGTCCTTTAGAGAAATTCAACTGTCATTCTCAGAGGAATTGGAATATAGTATTTTGGGCATATCTGTTGTCCTTTTCCTCATAGCCCTCTGCCTTCTGATATGGCAGATTTACCGCCACTGTACACGGTTTCCTGTTTCACAAAGACCTGGTAAGTTACCATGCAAATGAACTGGTTGATTTTTATATTTGACCTAATATTACACAAGATTATATTATTAGAGACAGGTGTAGTTTTAGATAAGCATTTAGTATTTGTGGCTTAGATGCACAGTATTGTATGTATGACATTATTTATTATATCTACATTACTGTTCAAA